ATTTCTTATTCTCAAATTAAGGAACAAAACCTGACAAAAATGTAAAATAATAATCTGGTTGAAAGAACGGTTGGTTGCTTTAATGCGTTTTTTCACTGTGTAGGTAAGCTCTGAAGGAAACTTTATATGAAATAAGCAACGAGTTACATATAGTTCGCGACTATTAACGTCATGTTTCGAGAGTCAGTCAGTCAGCTACAACGTAGGACCAGGCACATATATGCATCGGTCCAAGTTGCCATACTTCATTACCACAACAAGATGGACACCGCATTCATAAAAGTAGTTAATTCAGAGGTGGTAATATATAAAAGAAAGATTGCAATGAGGATATAGCACAGGAAGAAAGAGTTAGTTCGTAGAAAGAAAAATATGAAGCGATTTTAATCTCTTAGTTTAAGGGAAGACAAAGAGTGTATACACCGACGCCATTGTGATCGACTCTGGGCCATGTCACCAAGAGTCTCCAACCATTGGTTACGATGGTCACGCGGACCCCAACCAAGTAGTCTGCATCTATCAACATGGCTCAGACTAGAAGTTAGTGACTTCAAGCACTGATGCCACGTTTTGGTTTGGCCGCCCCTAACTTTCTTCCAACCATCCCGAACACCGGTTAGCATTGCACGTCGTGGTAATCGGTGTTCAGGCATACGTAACACGTGGCCTAACCATCTCAGTCTATGAAGATTCACAACCTCATCGACTGATTTACCACAATTCCGTAATACCTAATAAGTTGTCAACGCGTTCGACTACTTCACTCCCTATCCTTAGTTCAAGTGTTGACGCAGACCAGTTTTGAAGCAACAACTTGCATTTAGAGGGAGAGAAGCGCATTCCAAACATTCTGGCATTGTTGCTTAGTGCTACCAAAAGACTCTGCATTTTATCAGCGTCTTCACTAAACATGACTATCTCATCTGCGTATTCTAAGTCGATAAGTGGACCTCTTGGAAGGAGATCAATGCCCGAGAATTCAGTAGACGAGAATGTTATTTCCATCAGTAGGTCCATGATGAAGTTAAACAAAAATGGAGAAAGTGGACAACCTTGACGGACACCACTTGAGGTTGCAAAAGTAGATGACAGTTCGCCATAAGCTCTGACTCGACTGGTAGTGTTCGAGTAAAGAGCCTTCACAAGGTTTATGTACTTCTGAGGTACGCCTTTCAATGACAGACACTGCCACAGAACCTCGCGGTCTACCGAGTCAAATGCTGCTTTTAAGTCAAGAAAGACCACCCTTGTCGGACGCCGGTAAGTATGCCTATGTTCTAGAACCTGACGAATGGTGAATATGTGATCGATGCAGCCACGACCAGGTCTGGAGCCAGCTTGATTGTCTCGTGTTTGCAGTTCACGAGTCTTAGTTAAGCGTTTGATAATTATCGAGGCTAGTACTTTAGATACTATATTAGTTAAACTAATCCCTCTGTGGTTGTCACAAGATGATTTTGACCCTTTCTTATATATTGGGACGATAAGTGATTGTGACCAGTCAGATGGAATAGCGTCTAACTCCCAGATCTTAGCTAAAATATTGGTCAACCTAATCGCTAAAATTGGACCACCATGCTTAAAGACCTCTGAAGCCAATCCATCTGAACCAGCTGACCTTTCTCGTTTCAGATTAACTATAGCCTTTTGAACTTCTGCTAGAGTTGGGGGACCTACTTCAATCTTCTATTCACACTGTCTGGGAATGGAGAGTAGTTGTAGAGTAGCTAAAGGCCAGCTGAAATGTTCTCTGAAATGTTCCAACCATCGTTCTAAACGTTTGGACTGAGAGCAGAAGAGGGTGTCGTCTTTTTCCGAAATAGTCTGACTTACACTTGACTTATTAGTTCCAGTTTCTTTTATTAGTCTGTAGAGCTGTCTTGTGTTCCCTATAGCCGCCGCCTTTTCCATCTCTTTTGTCTCGAGAAGAAACGTGCGTCTCAATGGAAAAAGTATTTAGAATATTGGAAGCTTCCATTGTACGTTATGACTACCAATATTAGCAAAGCCTCATAAAATGACGGGTTTATTGTTAGGAAAAATATGTAGGGATGCTGACAAAAGCTAGTCAAAAATTTTCCACCCTCAGAATGATTATGTCAGTAGCGTTGGGAAAAACCAGAATTCAGAAGTCATGAAAAGACAATAGCTAGAATAATAATATATGAACTTAGTTGCAGTGTACTTCCATTGTCAGAGGTTGTTACAATAGTCACTGGAAGCCGTCAGGAAGTATGCATATCTGGATAGTTGTGTAATTGCTGGCAGTAGTGGGAATGGTGTAATTAAACTATTCGTAGTGAAAAATCAGAGCAAACTTATGGTGATATCTTTGGTAAAATATGGGTAAACAATGCACCGATGAGACGTATTCTCTCCAAGCCGTACTTACGAGTGTGTTTGACTGAAAGATTGTGAACTTCCAGTAGGGATAAGGTGCCGAAGAACCAAGCCTATTAACCAGGCCTTAATTGTACTAAAATTCATGTTATAAATAAACCAGTACACTTCATCACGAAAAGGACTTACCGGCTATAGCCGAACTAGTCTCTGGAGAGTACCATATAGTTAATATAAATTTCAATGATGCTTTAGGTCTTCTTTGACAACTAAGACAATAGCTATTCCTCTTGCGGTATTCGTAGTCTGAGTCCGACGTTGAACTTGAGTGCATACTGCCGTTAACCACTTCGCCACATTTATTAGGTGAGTATGAACGAACTTCAGCGACCGGCTGACCACCTTCCATGAATTTATAGTCGAAATTTTATAATTAATCCTTCACAGAAAATAGGGTAACTAGTAAATACATCCTGTGGGGCATAGAAAAGTAATAAAATAAATACAGAAGTTGGTATGGTAGTGGTACTCTAGAAGCTTTTCGAAAAATGTACAGTATGACTGTATAGAATATTAGATTGATTATAATAGTTGGGGGAAATTGGGAATATTTTATAACGACAATTTACAAATCCCGGTAGCCAAGTTACTGTCTATGGCACAAACTTATTGTAAAGAAAAGCGATACTATGGGGATGTCTGAACGGAAGTAGGGGGAACGGCGTGTTAAAACGAGATGAAATAGACAACCGCCAATTGCTAAAACCGTTGACTCATCTCTTCAAAAATCACTAGTTAGTTGTAGTCTGGTATCTTGTCTATTGCAGACAGGAAAGGAACATAAACTAGATCGTTACTGTTTTGGGTTCTAAAGTATGCATACATAATGGCAATCGTACAACGAACATTTCATTTAGTCTCTGAAAAGTATTCTATTCAATCGGTCAAAAAGCTTAAAGTATCTGAATTTTTAGGTAACAACACTAAAGCTGTTTCGTTTTGAGTAAACTTTACCAAGTCTGTTCATTGCTTATCTATTTGTTCGAATTCGTTGAATATATTGCTTTTGTAGAATTTGGCTGCATAAAAGCACTCTGACAAGACCAAAGTAAATAAACGGAAAGTTTATGTTAAGATAAAACACTTTAAAACGAATGCTTTGGGAGCTATGCGTCAAACCCAAGAGCACCTTGCATAGTATTTCTGTAAGTATTGACTTGATGAGGGTAAAGGACTAGTCTAAATATTGCTAACTGACAGGAAAAATACAAAAATAGTGCATAAAAACGAGTACAAAAATAGGAGAAATCTACTGTCTTAATTTAGTTTGACCAAACGACCATTTAGAAAGATAAGCATTAAATACAGACAGGGAACTCAACGATATCTTATGAGAATAGTAACAAGTAAGTTCATTAAATCATAGGAGTTTACTAGATGGTCAAGTTGGGACATGAAGTACGTGTACATAAATCATTGTACTGTTTAGTAGTCAGTCATAATCAATGTACGATTTGGAACATGTGTGGGTTAATTCAAGTTGTCGATGTAACGACACAATCTTGAACACTACGTGATTGTACTCAACGACTTTCATTTCTTTCTACCACAGTTGGAGTTAGTATTCCCATCGTGATCTTGTTTTGGATTTCTGCTCATTGTACTGGTACTAAAAGGAGCAACTATTATTAACATTTATACTGTCTTAAATAACTACTAACGATATAACTTGTGCAAATATTCGAGGGTTTATGAACTTTAGGAGAGAAATATCCCTGAAGATATATGGAACTGACCAGTGAAGTTTTAGCTGTTGTGGAGAGCTAGACGGGAATATTTGCAGAAACAGACAGTGAAGAACAACAAATATAAGACGACTAGTGGTTTAGGTTACCACAAAATAACAACTGAAAATCAGTTGAGATAGGGTGATATGAGTACTGAGAAAATATGAACGAACAGTGGCTCAGATACAGTAGCGAGGTGATCAAGAACTGAAAATAAGTGGAACATAGTCCGTTGTCAATTGGAAAAGATTAGATACATCAACAAGAGTTTGTCTTTGGGACTGCAGTGTGGTTCTTCATAGTCAAAATGAGCCAGATAGCATGCGAATCCTGAATAGTATTTGTTTAGATTCCATATTTTAAAGAGGCTTTCAGGCCACTACGAGTATGGTTACAGAATAAACGATGAACTTAGCCAAAAGATATGTTAGCCTTTACTATATGATGAAGCCGAAACTGGCTTGATTTCAAAGATCTTACTGGAAATAGTTGAAATTCGTAGGAGCTTCATCACTAATAGATCTTAACTGGTCGATATTGTAATTTAACATAAGTGAAGATTGCTTCGTCGTCATCACAACTTTTCGTTTAACAACATCTGAAGAAAGACGACATAACATATTTAAAAAAGTCGAGACTACACAAACATAAATTGAGATATCACTACTTGACATAATTCACAACTATCACGCAGTAACTCACAGGCACTCCAAATCCGGAGATCTGAACTTCCCGCCCGTTTATGAGAAACCCAAACTTTCCTCGCTCTCGAAATGTTTAATAATTTGAATTCTTAGGTGACTCTGCTTTTCCTCTTATACCACCCTGATGTTTTGTTTTAAATAACCGCCAAAAATGAAAGGTAAGCGCTACATAATGTGGTTTTTTTTCGGGGTGTTTAATTGGGTTGATTATGATTGTTTTTGGATCTGGAACCTCATTATACTGTATCACCTAGTGCTCATCATGGTCTTCAATGTGATAATATTGGTGTGATGATACAGACTTTCGTTGTGAAGTTATAAGCAGTTTCAACGTTCCCACCGGTTTAATTTTTTTACTCAACAATATTTTGCTGCTCTTAAGTTTTCTTTACAATAAAGCGATGAACTTCTTAACTTACGTTGACGTGGTGTGATGAATTTTTCCTAGTTGAGTACTCAAGTATGCACAGATGATATTATGTACTTTTCTAAATGACTCGAGTCACTTTACCGATAATTTTTTGAAAAAGTACCAGTAAAGTATGCTTTATTGGGATGTATTTCTGTTTTTCACTATTAGTACTCTGAATTCGCTGTAGTTAAGAGGGAGTAAAACTCTGATGGTCAAATCACCTAACATATGTGTCGTAAATTTTACCGCTCTCAATATGTTGATGATCCTTTAATTTGGAGAGATCTACAAGCGACTCACCTCACAAAACTTTAGGTATCCCGAATAATGCATAAACATAGGGGTCGAAAGATCCCGTTCCTTTTTTAACGCTAGTATTAAATACTAATGTATAATAGGAATAAATCGATTTCGTACTTTGGGTAATTTTAGTACCACAATCCAATATCGGTGTCTCTTCTCATTGTCTTTCGCCGATTGACGGGGCATACTCTTAATTTCGGTATATAATTTTGGTTAATGGTTGCATTACTCCGTTTCGAACTTCAAGTAAGCTGGATGAGTAACCTAAGCATCCCTATCTAAGTAGTTTAAAGGTATGGAATGCATCTGTAACATCAAACTCTCTTGTCTTCTGGATCTCAATGTACTATGATTTAAGGTAAGCAGAATTTAATTCTTCAGTTTATTGCGTGTTCGGAGTTTAAGAATATTTGGAGTCTGTCTAGCGTTTTACTTGAAGCTCCCAAGTCAGTACGTTCCTGCTAATTCCTAGATGCTTCGGCGTTTTGAACATTTTCCTGGTCTACGTAACTAATTCATCAATATATACTATATCACTCTAAGCTATCGGCAAGCGGTAGATAATAACTTGACATATCTCCAAAGCTATTCCACTTTTGAAAGGCTAGTGTATGAGTCATTCATTGGCGTATCATGCGATACGAAGGTTGTCAAAGGTGCCATTCTTATCTTATTAATTTTAAAAACAGTCTGAATCAGGTTATTTCGCATTATCTGAATACCTGTTTGATGAAGTTCCATCATTCCTTTTGGTCATGATAGTTAGTGTTACTCGAACACAAGCCACGTAAAGCTTAGGTTTAAGACGTCTTAGTAATTCTTTTCAAACTCCTAACATTGAAAAAATTACGTTCCTTTTAGTCGTTTTATTCTCTCATAATTATGTTAATAGTAATTTTATGCATAAAATCATTTGTATGGAGCTCACAAATGAAACACTAGGTGGCACTAATTGTTTAGTTTAGACAAAGTTTTCTGTAAGTTGTTTTCGTTTAGCTTGCCAAATTATCTAGTCACTATCCACACCAACCATACATAAACTAGTGTGATCTGGCTAAAAAGTTTTCCAATCAAAGGCTATTGTCTCTAAATTTCATCTTGTTTAGCGGTATATTTACACTAAATTATTTTTACGTTATTTATCAATTCTTTAGACCTATGCGAATGGGTTGAATTTTTTGAGGCTGCTGGTGTTCCAGCCAAACTAAGGGAAACATATGCTGGAATTTTTGTTGAACATCGAATTAACAATTCAGTCCTTGCTGATTTAGATAAGGACCACTTGAAAGATATGGGGATCACAGTTATTGGAGATATTATTTCCATACTGAAGCAATGCAAAAAAATAAGACACGAGGCAAGTTGTCTATTTTCCTCGAAGTTATTTTGTTTAAGTTATCAGTTGCACCAACTCCTGTTGTCACTTCAACAACGTCGAAAGATTGCTCATCTGAAAATAAAAAAACTGCGTCTAAAAGTATTTAATTATATGTTAACTTAGTTTTAGATTTAGATGTCGGCGTTTTAGTCCCAGTGCGTCGTCGAATGAATCCTGAGGTTGAAGGAAAATATATTGTTAAAATGCCCAAGGGGACGACTTTAAAGACCCAGAAAATTCTTGCATCCATGAAGCAAAAGAGTATGTTTATCTATTTATATATATATATATATATATATAATGAGATGATTTGACTTATCTACTGGTACCTTACTTGTTTTCCAAGTCAAATCAATTCACAAGATCCTAATGAAAGTATCACCTCATTAAGATACCAAAGAAAGGAGATTTTTGTAAATGTGAGAACTATAGATGAATCACACTACCAGGAGAAACTTTCAATTGTGTTACTGAACCGGATGAAAGATTCAGTAGACCTCTAGCTTCGAGATCAACAGGCTGGATTTCGTAAGAATCGACCATGCATAAACCAAATCGCGACTCTACGGATCATCGTTGAACAATCAATTGAATGGAACTCATCACTTTATATCAACTTCCTTGACGATGAGAAAGTGTTCGACACTGTGGATAGGAGGACTTTATACAATCTTCTTCGACACTATGGTGTACTTGAGAACATCTTCAATATGATCCGGAATTCATACGACGAACTACACTGCGAAGTCGTTCATGCACACCAGCTGACAGATGCTTTCGAAGTGAAGAACGGTGTCAAACAAGACTGTCTACTGTCGCCCTTTTTCTGTCTTCTGGTGGTTGACTGGATTATGAAGACCACCACATATCAAGGGAAGCACGGGATACAATGGACAGCTTGCAAGCTGTCCTGGCTCTTCTATTCCATACACAGCGACAAAAGTGGATGAGGATGGCCAGTATAGCAGCAGCGTCCAATCAGTGAGTTTTAACATACACAAGGGAAAATGCAAGATTCTCAAATACAACACGGAGAACACCAACCAAATCACATTTGATTTAGAAGCTCTGGAGCAGGTGTAAAATTTTACGTACCTGGCCAGCATCATTGATAAGCAAGGAGGATCCGATGCAGAGGTGAAGGCGAGGATAGACAAAGTAAGGGCCACATTCGCACAATTGAAGAACTGTCAACCAACATGAAAGTCAGAATCTTCGATACGAACGCCAAGACAGTCCTACTGTACGGAAATGAAACTTGGAGAACTACAACCACAATTAAAAAAGTACGGGGATTCATAAACAATTGTCTGCATAAGGTACTTAATGTTCGTTGACTGGATGCCATCAGCAACAGCCTAATGTGGGAGAGAACAAACCAACTCTCAGATGAAAAGAAAATCAGCAAAGGACTCTGGATGTGGATAGGACACACATTTCGGAAATCATCAAACTGAATCAAGGGGCAAGCGTTTACCTGGAATCATCAAGGGAAATGGAAAAGATGAAGGTCGAAGAACACAGTGCGTCGAGAATTGGAAGTAGACATGAGAAGGATGAATAACAACTGGAAAGGATTGACCAGAACAGGGTTGGATGGAAAATGCTGGTGGGCGTCCTATGCTCCTCCATGAGGCATAACAGGTGTAAGTAAGTAGTGAAAGTGTACTCATAATTATGGATTGGTTACATCTCATGCTATCTAAGTTACCATGTTAGAAGTGTAGATATTCATTAAACATAGTTATTGTAGTTCATGGTACTTATCAGTTTGTTGAAATTATCAGGAAATTTCTATTAGACACTGAAAAGTTTTGTATTCTTATTACAGATGGATTTCTTTAACATTTTTGTATTAGGGAAATGAATTAATAGTTAAGGAACCCCACCTAGTCATTGGTTTGATGGTTCAAATTCCACTTCGTCTACTTTGGTTTGTACATCTGGATACATAAACCTGTGCTCGTCAGTTCTGCGTATAGATAGATTAGTTTACTTGTATGGCTAGTAGTGTCTAGTTCGACTTGTATAATAGTTTGTACGCTTTCATGCTACGTTCTTAAATGGATATTTATTGTGACGACTTTATATCGAGTAACATCTGTATATGTTACATAGTATTCTATTGCTTTTATTTGAATTTTTTGTACATTATTTTAGACAGTGCAAAGTCTAGCCAATCTGAAGTTGCCAAAGCCGCCAAAACAAATGAACCTCCTGTATCGTCTACCTTCGAAGACAGCGATGTCGATGATTGTGATAATTATCGTGTTATCATCTCTAAGTAGTTAACTCTAATTTACTTTTCTATCGTTTATATATTTTACGTTGAAGTTGTAATCGGGATTTTAAAAAACTCTAGAAAAAAATATGTTATCATTGTCAGGATTTTATTGAGGTTCCAACGCTGTTAGTTGGTGTTACGTTGTACAGTGTGTTATTTTGGGAAATTTCATACACATAGTTCCCTTTATTTTCTTGAAGAGAGCAAGAACGAAGATTGATGCAGAATAATATATGAATTCACTTTATTTCGTCAAGTTCTCATCAGCCGTGTACAACTTATAATATTTTAAAATCAATGTTATTACAGATATTTGCATACTTATACCTACGACGTTAATTAAAGATGAATATATGTATCATAATGTAGCGAAGATTTCAATAGAGTTAACATGGTCATAAAAATTTTGTTTCAGATTAAGCTTGGGAAGGAAACTTCCTGAACATTGAATTAGTGATTAGAACTCGTGGAGTTAACAAACATTAGATGATTATAGAACGAAACAACTGAAAACAGATTAATGGTAGTAAAGAAATATCTGAATTGAAATCGGTCAGCTATCAGTTGAAGAAAAACGACAATGATGTAATCAAATTTAAGGAGTTGAAATTGATTGCTTTGATGAATAATACCATTTTACTTAATATTTTTAACTTACCTTTGTGATTCCACGTCACTCTCATGCCATCCCTCCAGCCTTTGACCTAAAGGTCTAATCCACAAGGCAGTGAAGTAGCGTCAGGAAATGTAGTCTCATGGTAGCCGGTGATCAACAGTATATTCATACACCATTTATTCCCTCAAGATTATTGAGACCATGTGTTACATTGGTTTCGGTTTCCAAACTCTGCTAGGTGGATCCTCCATTCTTACCAACTCGGTTAAGTCACTGAACAACCACTTTTCGTCCTCTCGAGTTCGTAAGCAAGACAGTGAGTAGGAGTTCCCTGGTAGTGGCTGTATACGCATAGTCATATCAGAGCATTTCGGAGGGTGGGTGGACTCTTCCCACCTCCTGTACCAGGGCATTTGAGAGCCTTATACTTATTATCCTACGCTGTCAAATGTGCTAAACGATACATAAGACTATTTCAATTGGAGTATTTATTTTCTGTCCCATTCAGTATTTCGTACGTGAGGTTCATGCTTTATCGTAGCTTTTCAATTGTCAATTTTGTTTTTCTGTTATTTATATTTGTAACATTGTTCTTGAACAATTGTTTTTTGTTTACTTTCACTTTAAATATTAGATCAAATACACATGGTTCCACATCTAGTGATTCAGTATTCAGTCGTTTAGGTAATACTGTAAATAGAGAGGATTCACCTACAAGTGTACTTATAAAAAAAACGACAGATCCATCTGCTGCAATGCAACGCTTTATTCGTTGGAATTTAAATGACAATAGTCTTGGATCACCTTTTCGTCCTTCACCATCTGTTGCAGAAACTATTATGAACTCACCAGAGGATTCTTTGAATTTTAAAGTTGTTAAACAAGTTAGCGGTCTTACAAAAAGCCTTGATCAGTCTGTTAAATTAAGAACACCCCTTAAACGACATGTAAGTATTCATTATCTGTGTCTCACCAGTGTGCAAAAATTCATATCTTTGTCTCAGTAACAGGAGACGGTAATTTTTGATTGATGGTTCTCTCGCTGTAATAAATGATTTTGTTTTAATCATCAATTAACTACTGATCTCAAGTCACTACATTTAGTCAAAAAAACCTCCATTTTAACCTCTCGAGTTTTTGACATGCTTTAAGTGAAGGGTAATAATAATACACGTTTGTCAAACTGGAGTTAATAAGGTGGAGTTTCAGTGTTCGGTTTTGTGTTTGAATGACATGTTTTTCAACTACTAAACCACTATTTATTCTTTTAGAAGCTGATATTCATTACCAGTTTGCACCAGGCTTGTGTACGATTATGTCAGAAAACCATTGGAAATTACATGAAGGTATTAGGTAATATATTTTTAGATGCAGTTGTCAACTCACAGTCATGAAAGCTCTCTGTTAGGAATACTTCAGTCTCCTCATCCGAGGCAATATTAACTCATTCGAAGGCATATAAAGACAGTTAGAAATCATACTCTAGTCATTGTATTTTATTTTTTAACTTAAATTCCTTTTTTTCACATCTCATTTATCTTTATTGTTATTGATTTAATTATCATTGTGTACACAGGCCTCTGATACGGTATTTAGTCGTTTAAGTGCTCCATCAACTACTATACAACCAAATGATCAACTCTCTTACCAAGGAATTTTGAAGAAGTCACGAACTCAACCTCCTAAATTTAACAATGAATCGATGTCTTCATGTTCTCTAAATAGCCTTCTTTCTCCACACACCGAAGGTGTACTTAGCCAGAGTCGTATGCAAAAAGTTTCGGTAAAAAACCGCTTAGGTAATTGATTAATTCATTTAAGAAATTTGTTTCGCTTAATTCTTATGCCCTACTTTATTTTAATGTGTACAAAATATGAATTTATTGAATACAAATTGACGTTTTTCCCTATTCTGTTGATCGTCTGTGTTACTATAATCTCTATTTTTACATGATAGGTGGAGCAGTTTTTTATTTTATAGCAATGAAACGTTTAATAGCCCCACCTACTAGATCTGTTGAATTAATTTGACTGCTCAGATCGAAGTCAATGGATTTCATACCCTATTGATAAAAAATAAGATCCACAGACGTCTGTGCTACGGTTTATCCTTCTATTGATTTATCTCTCAATCTCAAAATCAACGTGAATTGCTGGGTCATGTCCTTTAAAACCTAAATCCACTTTATTTAATTTAAACCATACAGAAGTCCGTCATTTGTAGTCCAACTTAAACTACTACATTGTTAATATATTATTGCGAACCGTTTTAGGATTTATTCATAGACCTATTTACAGTCACTTGTGATTCCACACTCTATCCTTCAATATCATAAGTCCCCAATGACCTACTTCCTGCCATTAAGATTCATACTCTGCTTCTTAAATACCGATTTCTCACTTGTCGTTTCGCATTTCGGCACGAGCTTGTGGACAAACATTTTCCTTTTAGAGATAAACGTTCTATAATTATGGGTACGATGATTTATATCAGACTCTACAAAGTTAACGAAAACAACAAAGGTGGTTTAGTTGAAACAGACTCCAGTAAAGTGTATGATTCTTTCTACATATATTGGGAATTTGGATCAATTTGGGTTCTGTATTTATAATGTACTGCTCCCTCAAGAAAATATTTCAGACTTTCGTATTATTAAAGAGGATAATTTTTACAGACTGTTTTCATAATTCACTACATGAATATTATTGAATGATTAAAGATTATATCGCTTGTTAGGTTTTAAACAAGGAGTTGATTGTTGTCTTTTGGCTATATAAGCATTACATGTAATTAAATTCCTTAAACCATAAAGTATGTTATATGTAGTACATTATTATTCTGAGTGAATATAATTTGGACTTAATTCAATCTAGGTTTAGGAGATTTGCTTTAAAAATTTTATTGAGATGTGTTGGTAGAATTTGAGTCATAGAGGGCTGATTACTTTATTAAATTATCAAAAGTTTGTCTCCCTAATTTTTTGGTTTATTTTGTGAATCCCTATCTCTTTAGCGAATCGTTGGATGTTAACGGCAATTATTAGAAGTTCACAGTGATATTGATGTTCGAATGCTTAGTGCATCAATTTAACAGTTGGTTTCTCGCTCATGCGTTATTTGTTTCACTGGGGTTTCGATTACACTTCTAAATAATTGTTTCCACATCTTAGAAGTAAATGAGAAAAAATTACATTATTGCAACAAAGAGTTTCTTCCAAAACCTAAAGAAAGGAAAATTAATTGTTTATTAAATTTATTGTTAAATTCCTCATATCAGTAAACTGCCTTCCTTTATGAAATGGTGGCGAAGATTTGTAGCTCAGGTGGATGATTTTTACTTCTACCTGAATTTCGTGCCGATTATGTCGTTTAGAATGACAATGAAAGCTCCACGAACAAACCATTCAGCTCAGACAACAAAACTCCATAAAAATGCCTTCCTCTATATTTTATAGGATTGTCAATGTGACTACTTATAAGTAGTCAAGTTTAGTTTCTATTTCTTCTGACTAAGTATACAAAGCTATATGCCATTTTCTTATAGCTTTTAAGAAATTCCCTTATGAAAGTCGATATGTAAAATACACAGTACTTTGTTTGTCAGTAGGAATATATTTATGCTCTACAAATATGCGCATTATTTTGATATTTGGGTATTTTAATCTAGGAATGGTTGTTTGCATTCTCAGTTTTACATGAAGGTCCAGATACCATAAAATTAACTCATCAAATCATTCTAATGTCAGTCGTTTTGGTGAGAAAAATATCACACAACTGTTTCATTATTTTTAGTATATGTATATACACAGTTTGATCAGTACATAATCTATTTTTTCAAGTTATACAAGAACAATTTTTCCCATCAATATTTTACTTAAATTTTCTTTATGTTTTAGGCAACAGACAAGGAAAGTCTAACGCTCCAGTTCATTCTAGACTTGGTCGAGCATCTAATCCAGTATGAATAATCTGATTTTCATGACTTTTACTGAACTTAGTGTATATATACATAAATATATTTCGCATACCATAAAATATAATTTTAGGTATCCATTTAATTCTTTTTTATTCACATGAAAGTTACTAAATTTTCTTTTAAGTACTTCAGCGAGCAAGTCCGTGTATACATCATATCAAGTTATTTCGTAAATAGACTATTTAACAAGTTCTCATCTAACTTAGATATTGAATTTCTTCAACTTGTTTTCTAAAATCTATGTGCGAATATATGTGCATCAAACGTTGCATAGTTGAATCGTCTATGAGTCTGTATATCTCATCTGTATCGGGATTATTTTTAACTATTACTAGTTAGTGTTCTAGATTGCGTTCATTTACCGTCTGTCCACCAGATTCAATTATAATTTATAAACACGTAGTTTAATTTCAATTAAGCAAATTTGCGTTGAGTGTGTTAAAAAGCTTCGTTTTCTAATTTTAGCAGTTATTTGAAGGGTTAAAGGATCTCTTTGGTAATACCGTTAACACTGACTACAGAGAACTATAAAACTCAATGCAAGTGAATGGAGCAATAGCATTTGAACCTGGTAGAATGTACGTATATTTGTGATATTTAAGTGATCGAAACTTCCCAGATGTTCTCTATAAAGTGGAGAAAAAACTACTGTAATAGCTGTTTGTGGATCCTTCTTAACAATTATGTTCGGTGACCCATTATTCTAGTTTATTGGCTATAAACACTGATGACTAAACTACGCAATATACTACTAACCCCTTTTGTGGCCTTTATAGTTAGGATGATTATTTTGAATTACTCATCATGTAGTGAACTAAGGCTCAGGTGGGGAGATCAGTTTATTGTTTAATGCACAATCACACAGTGGTTTAGCGAAATGTAAAAATCATGAAACGAATACATTATTTGAACATCTTTAAATTGCCTCTTACAAGTTTTATTGTTCCTTCATTTGTGTTGTTATCTTGATTGCTTCCAGTCTCCTTTTTTCCATTTAAATTTTCTCGACTTTCTGCTGCCAAGCATTCCACTCCTGATTGGTGTTACATACTACTTATGTCGACAATCATAAGTAGCACACACCACAATAATAATCTTAGGTGTCAGTTTCACTTTAAACTTAATTCTTGAGTTTGCAAAAGCTAATTAACCACATGAAACAACTTAATTTGTATGTTATTATGTGAAAAAAGAAGAAACTGTCCAGACATCAGGTATTCTCAAAAAATAAACAACTTATTTACTATTATTAAGACAAATTAGAAAACTTGAAACAATCATGTGGATATTTATCGAATGTAGTCTTCAAAATAAATAATTATTGCCGTTTTTAAAATAAAAATGACAGCAGATCATTATTGATCATTTGATGATTAGTCACTTTTGAGACAGTACTGCTATGTAGAGCTGAAGGTCTCATATGAGACTGGAGGTTCGCTATTGATATTCTGGGTGGTTCTGCATTACTTTTGTTATGATTTTATATCCGGCTTCTTATAACGTGACTTATCCACCAATCAAAATACGACTTATACAATCTTAGCATTGTGCCAAACCAATGACGTTCGACCGGTATGAGCAGCCTAGCGTCCTTATTGGTCCTATGTCCGCCTAGCCCGTCCACTTGAGTCCAGAACACAATACCAGCTTCTGCAATATGAATCATTTATTTCAAACATACTCGGTTTATATATCAACCAGACAGACCACAACGTACCATAAAATAGAAAATAATATGTGTACACAATAGAGCCAAAAAGTGGCTGTGAATGAGGGAGATAGTAATTAATAGACAGGCCATAACTCACGAATGATAAATCATGTAGTAATAGTCTATGGGTTAAATTAAAGCTTATAATAAGAAGAATATAAATATACATAATCTAATTATTGAATAATTATACAATGAGAATATTTATAGAATATTAGTCCATTAATAGTCCTCGGAAGTTACCTGTAATTTAATCTTCACTGGGATATAACAACTTTGGCAAGTTTTGCTGACTGTTCATACTCAAAATTGGTTTGCTGACTAACCGATTTCATTTATACTGGTGGTTACTTCTCAGTGTTCTCAAGGGCCATTGTCATTGGGTCATTTTAAGGCATGTTGCGATTGCTAACATTAATGAGTTTGATTGTCGTGTAAGCCGAATAGGTCAACTTTGGCCTGTTCGTGCTGTGCGTAATTGATTCACGCAATCAATGATCGGAATAATATATGTGGTGTGTATGAATGATGCGAATGGTCCACCAGGGTGTTGGGTACCTGTGTGATTGCGCCACAGGATTGAGCTGTGCTATTCAGATTGTAGCCTATATGGTGTCTGTATCTGAGCTGTACTGCTCGAGTTGAGCCTGGGAGGTGTCTGGCTCTCCTGCGAAACGGGATTAAGCTGTACTGTTTGGGTTGTCACGTGAAAGTCTGGGTGGTATCCGGTTATCCTGAAAACCAATATAAAATTACTCTAGCCTATAAGGATATGTTATATAACTGTAAACTTTAGTATCAGTGTAACAGTTAATAATAGTTATTTGCAAGCCTCTTATTTTATTGATTATTAGTTATATTAACGCTACTGCACTCTGAAACTAGCCTTCAAGTACACTGTTACAATTTATGTACTGTTGAACACACTCGTCGAAACAGATGTGATTCACCTTGTATAAACTACTCACTTAAATCGAGAAGAAACTCCTTTTTTTAAAATTAAAGAATGATTTATAATGCGAAAAGAAACTTCAAATAATCTTATTTTATGGGATATAATTTATTCTCTCGTATTTCCTATCAGAACTAACCATAATAATTTGCATGCAGAAGCCATACAACTGAGTTTAAAATTTTTTATTACTATTCATAGTTTACTCTTGTACGTTTTATTATATGCTATCATTTTACTCAGTAGCTAAGTGGATAACGCGATGGCGTTTGAAGCGAACGGTACTGGGTTCGAGTCACAGAGTGAACATCAACTCTGAGGTGCAGGTACATCCAGCTGACGAGTCCCAAATGGGACGAAACACTCGTCCTGGATTCGAATGCTGGTCAATTGCAGTCCTAAACATCAATGGGAAGATTCAAGTAAAAAATATCAAGTGAATTTTACAAAGTTGTTTTGATTACTGATTATAAGTAACATTTATGAAGAAAATGTTAGTTTTTGGATCTAAGCTTTAAAAAGTAAAATGTACACACAGTGGAATAAAGAGTTTATATGAGGTTATTTTAGATGAACATTTGGAAATATTGTGTTTTGAATAAAGAGTTATACTGGATATTTGTTTTTTAGATAACTTTAAATTTTGTTTCTAATTTGTTTGTTTATTTGTATATATGTATGTTTATTTGATCAGTTGTATGTTGAGTTTATCAGTGGTACAGAAATTGTACATCTTTGCTCTTAAATAACTGTAATAAAAAATATTAAATACCATCAGTAATGCATAACAGTAATAATAGTCTATGTGTAATAATAATATATAACTTATTCATTCAGTAATGTATAATATTTCAGTTTTTGTATGATCATTTCGTTTATTACGCTTTCTAAAACGTAGTAAACGATTTGACAAAGCTGTTTTAAATGATCCAGTCAATATACTATACACAACAGGATTTACACATGATGCAGCAAATGATAATGTTTGTGATAATAGTTTTGCTATTTTCATCGCTGGTACAAATGGAAAACTAGCTTCATCAAAAAAGAACCATGAATTAATTATATGTGTTGGTAGCCAACATACACCCCATAATGTAGTGACTAATACAACCAGTTTAGTCGCTTTAGAACGTAAACGTTTTTTCTTTAATTCTCGTGTAGCACGTATCAATTCATTTGGATTTTGTTGTATATTTTCATGGAAATCACACTTTTGTATACAATTTTTTGTACTAGAACGATGCCCAGTTCCAATATTACTAGTTGTGCTAGTATTATAATCTGATGTCGTAGTATCATCAGATAATTGTTGTTCTAAGCGTTGTTGTTGGCGATGATGATGAGGATGATTGTCATAATTGTGGGATATATTTTCATGTGTATCATCAGACCTATGTGATCCACATTGTTGTTGTATACTAAATAATCTTCGTTTCTTTGTTGATTTTTGACTTGAATTAAATGATTCATTAGTGTTACTGTTATTATTGGTAACACTATTATTGTTGTTTCTTGTATAAATGGAATTGTCATGCAAAGAAGTACGTTTTAATTGACCTGTTTCTCGTTCTGCCACATTCTGTAGATAAGAAGGAAGAAATGGATGTTCTAATACAGTTTTTTAGTGGTATACAAAATGAAATATTGATTTAATTAAAATTGGACGGGAAAGAAAACTTCTAGATAATTAAATTCATAGTGTCAATAGTGTTAAGTGATTTCTAAAGTTTATTTTTTAAGAAAGAAGATGATTTCATGTGATCTTTGGCTTAAATTTGAACAGAAAATTCCAAAATAGTTTCGATTCAAAGCAATATGGGGCGAGACGGTAATGTATGGACGAGCCAATCAGAAGCGTTAGAGGGATTTCAAGGTCACGGCGCCAATTTTAGTACCTGATGCTCACGTACGATCGATTTACAGTGGATTTTAAAGAAGACGTGATAAGTGAGCGGCTATAACAAATGGGATTGCTAAGAAGTTCCTTTATCTGTGACTGTGGTAATCAAATAGACAAAACAGTAGTGAGGAAGCGGAAATTTAACAGAGGACGTAGTATTAAAGAAGACTGGGTAAGTAACACTTCCATAAATATACCTCACAGGTCCTTGGAATTTACGACAGGTCAACCCAAAAGGGACACTTCCAAAGGGTGAAAAACTGGCAGGCAACGACTATAATACTAATTATATGGGAATATGTGCAGGCAGGTACTACAATATATACAGACGATTGGAGAGCGTACAGATGGCTGCATGCACCTGGTTATGTGCATCATGTCGTTATCCACAAGCACCATTTTGTTTACCCTACAACCGGAGTGCACAATAACAATGTTGAAGATATGTGGTCGAGACTGAAGGAGTTTTTACGACCTTATCATGACTCGAGAGGCCGACTATTATGGAGCCATATGGATGAATCCCTCTACCGTATGCATTACGATTTCCGAACCTCTTTCCAACCTTGACAAGTTTTCGAACCATGTAGAAGAAATGTATCGACTTTAATTTTTTGGTTTTGTATAATATATTTTTACTTTATACTAGCTGTTTTATGATTGGTTGATACTTCTCAAGTTAACTTAAGATTCGTTCAAAGGTCGTCCATAGACTGTAGTTTCGCCAACTGTCATTCAGTCATTTTTAGATGTTGACTAAATTGTTACTGATCATTAGATTCTTATCAGAATAATGTAGATAACTTTTGAATAGATTTCACATCAAATGGTTCATATTCACACAACGAACTGAATTTTACATTTGAACATGAGAAAACAGTTACTTAGAAGTGAATTATTTTCAGCGTTACTTGTTTTCGATTATTCCTCTGAAGAAGTTTAAACAAAACTGCGAAGAATTTATTTCAGTCGTTCAGGTTCTTAAAAATACAGTTTGATATCAGAGGAATCATCTTGAATATATCGTAGTTTATATTTAAGAAACGAAACGGTGAGATTATTGTTTCCAATAGTTAATTTGAGCACACTACATCCAACTTTTATAGATTTTCGATTACTAAATAATCTTAGCTGGACTAACATTTGGAATCTGAGGGGTCGTTTCTTCCTAGTATCAGACTACTCAGCAATGCGAAATCACTATCTTGCACGTTGTGTTTGAATGTGAGACGTCAGATCTTGCGTGTGAGGTCCTAACCTCTAGAGCACTGAGCCGGCACCCAACTACAATCTCCACAAATATCACAAACTAGTAACAGTCATGTGCTCATTAGTCATTAGCTCTAAGATGTAACTCCTTGGATTCTAGCGAAAAGCTGTGACCAGTAAATTTCAACCGTATATGGTATGAGACAGTCATTCACTGCAGACAGGGGACTGAAATTCTTAGGCTCGAGTCCCGAGTGTGGGATCGCGGATGCCCACTACTTAGGACTCTCATATTTAGACGAAATGACCGTACAGGTCTTTGATAGTGTTCTAGCTGAGATCGACTCGTAATTTTAAGTTTAAACGTATGTTATTTGAACAGATGCACCGTGTTGATATTTCTTATATTTCTTTTTCAATGAAAATACTACTCATTCACATATAACATCAATATTTGGTTTAATTAGACACATGTCATTTAAGGATGGGAATACTGTCACAAATTTCATCAAAAACAGTGAATATTCAATATTTAAACCAAAAAAACAACTTGAAAAAATTGTTGTGACAGTATTTATTTTTCAAAATAATTAAGATCCTGTCAACTACTCAGTTTTTGAATAATGTATATATGTGTTTACTGGATGAGTAACTTTCGAATGAGATTAGGTTAAAATTAGTGGACTGTAAAAGTTAGGTTTACAACTAATCATATATTACTGACACCAACAGTTGGTAATGTAAACGAATAACACAAAGAATGCAGTTCCATTTGTTCACGTATTTCGTCTTTTCTGAGTTTCCTAATATCTGTAATGTCATCACGGGCTAATTTTCGTTAGGAAGCTATTTAAAACTTCAAATTTATTAATTATCATTTCCTCTCATTATTTTACTACTTAACAGCACGTACCTACGTTACTTTATAAAGCCCTAGAACAAAAAAATCGATGAGACTATAATTTATAGACGACCTTTGAGCGACGTTGGAGCGTCCCTGAGTATGTTCACCTACTTACTAGGGCTAAATGAGGATTTTAAGCCGGTGTGAGGAATTAAGATTGTGATTTAGGGTTTTCATCACGAGCTGACATAAACTAAAATGCGAAAACGCTATTTAGCCAAATGGATGAATGAATTTCGTGCTAAAATCCAAGACCTATTATACCAAATTTGATTGGTTTGTCCATAATTTATAGTCTTGCCAAAAAATCTAATGAATACTTTCTATTTTAAAGTCTTCACCCTTTTTATTAAAGATGACTTAATTATCATGCTTAGAAATGTAAGTTTCAGAGTTGAATGAAAAACCTTTAGTTAAGTAGTTTCAATTGTTTTTATCTCTCAAAGATAATAGTTACTTATATCAGTAAGTATTTTATTATAAATACAGAAATGCCCACAAGCAATGATTGAAGAAATAAGATTATGGACAGTAAGTAACAATATGAATTGATTTTTACTACTTATATTTGTAGTATTCAGTAGTAACAAAACAGAAAAATGGAAATCATTGTTTATGATCATGGGTATTGTTTTGTTGTTATGTGAATAATCTGAATACATTTTGTAGTGGATAAATAGTGTTAATTGTTGAGAACAGTAATTAAATAGAAATTTTAATAAGAGTTTTATTATATTATAAGGAAAGGAAATATTTTCGAAAATCTTTAACATGTATCAATCTAAACAAAGCATGAATAATAATGCTTATAGAGTACAATGACTTCATTGTATTTCATGCAATTGGTTCCCTTTATGAATTTAAATAGAGCAAGAACAAACATTGATGCAGAATAGTATGAATTCATATTATTTCGAGGTTTCTCGTCCGCTGCTTACAAACCGAAATTGTGATAGAATTTTTACATGGAGATAGTGTGAAACAATTGACACAAATGAATGCAAATAACTTGATTACAATTGTTTCACACTATCTCCATGTAAAAATTTTATCACAATTTTGGTTTGTAAGCAGCGGACGAGAAACCTCGAAATAATATGAATTCATACTATTCTGCATCAATGTTTGTTCTTGCTCATTGTATTTCATTGATCTCTTTTCAACTATATGATGATAGTAAAATTTCGAACTAACTGAACTCATCAACTATGTTTTGAATTCTGAAAGAATTAATTGTCTATCATCGATGAACAATTTGTTTATAATAAGATTAATAATTGATAATTTAAAAGGTGGTTGAGTTATGAGTAATTGTGGTTGATAGTTCTGATATATTTACGAGTACAGTAAAAAAAAATAATGAAATATGTAAGAAAAAAATGAAGCATTTTGTTTCCAACTTATTGAACTCACTATACTTAAATCAAGAACTTTCCATAGGAGATGTTTGGCGGGAATTTATCTACCTTTGTTTGCGTTGTTCAGCGGTATATATGGTTGAGTTTAAATGTGTTACTTTAAAAACTTTCCTCAAGAATTGATTATTTATTTTTAGGACACGATCACATTTGAACATTAGTCAGGTAATACTAGGAAAGAATCATGTTTCCACGTGATTCATCGAAACTGTTTTCATCCTGAAAGATTTCATTTCTCTCTCATTTATTACGAAACTTTGGATTAATGATTGAACTTAGTCGATCACATAATGATATAATGTATAATATGTACAGATTAATATGTAAATAACTATAAATACGATTGTATACCTTTAGTGAGGGATATAATGGAAACGAAAAGTCATGAATTTTCCGTAATGACGCAATGATTTTTATTTGTTTTGATTTGAAAATCATAATAAAACCGTTTCGCCCGTCACGAATTCATGCTTAGTACAATATATCTATAACATTCAAACAAATTTAACCTTTCACTGAGAGCTAAATGAGTAAAAAATGGACAATTTACATTCCTAGCCTACAAGTATTTATACTTGTTCTAACTGAGGATTAGTTACCTTAACCACTGAAACAATAGTCAGGACTTTACTGTTATTTAGTATTTTGTTGATGGTTATTAATGCTTCATTTTATAGTTTTTTTGTTCTGAGAAATGTAATTTTAAGTTTCATCTTTTGTAAATCTATTATGTACCATAAACCATGTATTTTGCCTAGACAGTAAAATCAAATCTGTTTGAGTATGTATACACCTTGTCTTCTCATAAACATTAATTAATTTCCTCTACAGAATGAGATCATCGAACATCATGAAGTAAATCAGCAAGATGTAAGGATCACTTCTTTATTACACAAATTTTTAAAATAAGTCAATAATTCATAGAAGAGGCGATGTCTTTAAAAGAGATTTTTTTGATCAGTTTTAAGACATATTTGTCTTGGAATACTAAGTTATTGTTGTGAAACAAAGTGGTTACAGTGATTACTTTGTTTAGATACTGAGATTAAATGATGAAATATTCAAATGAACTTTGTCATTTTGATACTATAAATGTTTCATTTGTAATCAGATAGATAGGGTCAGTTTAGTAACCTCAACTGTAATTG